CCTCGCCTCGTCGTCGCACCGCCACGGGGGCCCGAGCGCCTTCGGCGCGCGGTGGCTGCCCGCGACGGGGGTCGACGCGGGACCGTCGGCGGGGGAAGGCCCGAACTTCGAGCGGGGGGTGGGGGGGTACGGGCTTCATATAGGGGAACGAAAAGCGACACAATCAGAAAAACTCAGAGGTCCGCGCGGAAATCTCGGATCGGCGCTGGACCCCCCTCCCCGGAGCGCGCCAGGGGCGGCGCCGGAAGCGCCACCAAGGGGGTCCAGCGCGGATCCGAGAAACCCGCGCGGACCTCGTATCCATACGTGTTTTTGTTTTCCCATGTTCCGCGACCACCACCCCCCACTGGAAATAGAGGGCGGAGTTCGGGGCCTTCGGGTTGGGTACAGTGGGGGCCGGTCCACAAGAAACCGTCCACAAGAAACTTAGGCGGGGCGAACAGGGCCATCCAGAAGGTGGGCCGTCGAAAGGGTGCATGGAACGGCTTTCGGGGAGGCGTTCCAAGATTTCTGGAACGCCTTTCCGCCCAGCGTTCGGAGCAGTTCGGTCGCCTCGGCCCACGGCCCGCTACCGCGTCGACATGGAGACACCTCGAAGCGGGATCAGGCCGCACGAGTGAAGCCAAATTGTCTGCGAGGGGCAGCCTTGGAATTGCTGTTCTGCCACCCTCTCTCCTTCTCGTCCTAGGTGTGCCCGTCGACCGCCGCGCCCTTTCTGTGGCGCCGAAGTGGCCACTTCGCCTGGTCTGCCCCGTGCACGCTCCCGTGCTGGCCCTCCCCCTGCCTCCGCCCACCGCGCAGCCCCTTGCCCCCTCCGCCGCCACCTCCCCTTTTCTCCCTTCACTCCCCTTTTCGCCCCGCGTCGTCGTCGTCGTCGTCGTCGTCGTCGTCGTCGCCCCGCGTCCCACACCAGTGTCGTTCAGCGCCTCACTGATGCTAGCCCGCTACTTACATCTGCCAACCGCGCCCATTTTCTCTCGCACTCTGCCTCCCTCATCCCTCCCCCCCCCCCTCCCCCTCCCTTCCCCCAGCTCCCCTGTCCTATTTCGCCTTCCCCCGTCCCCTTCCCCTTCCCTCCCTCCATTTGCCCCTTTCTTCCAACCTCGTGCTCTCCCGCTCCCACCCCTCCCCATTCCCTCCGCCGCCAGCCCTTCCCGAACGCTGTTCCGGGAAGGCGCGCAGCCCTTCCCGAACGCTGTTCCGCGGAGGCCGAATGCAGGCCCCAAGTGGGCCATCCGTCCGGCTGATGCTCCGAGGCCCCAAGTGGGCCATCCACCCGGCTCCTGGAGGCCGCCCCCCCCGAGGCCCCAAGTGGGCCATCCATCCAGCTCATGCACGCCCCCGACCCTCGCACGCCCTGCGCGCAACCCCCTCGCCGCCCCCAGGCCCCAAGTGGGCCATCCACCCGGCTCATGGAACATCACACCGGGGCACCCAGTACCCCTGCACTGGTCCAGGGCCCCAAGTGGGCCATCCGTCCGGCTGATGCTCCGAGGCCCCAAGTGGGCCATCCACCCGGCTCATGGAACCCCTTCCCAGAGCTCCCTCGGAAAGGCGTTCCGCGCCTCGGGGGAAGGGTACTCGCGCGCCTGGCCGCCTTGGCTCCCGCGACCCAGGGCGCCCTTGCACCGATCCCAAACCACCCCGCCTCTCCCTCCCCTTCTCCTGCTCCCATGCCTCCCTCCATCCCTCCCTCCCGCCAGCATTCCTGCCCTCTCGCCCCGCACCTCGTCGTCCCTTTTCTCCCTTTTCGCCCCGCGTCGTCGTCGTCCTCCTCCTCCTCCTCCTCCTCCTCCTCACATGTCCTCATCCTTCCGCCCCCCCTCCTTCCTCCTCCATCATCCTCCGCAATCCTGCTCCCGCCCTCCTCCCTCATCGTCCTCCATGCTCATCCTTATGAACCTCCTTTTCCTCCTCCTCCCTCATTCATCCCATTATCACCTCTCCCTCCTCCTCCTTCTCCTCCTTCTCCTCCTCCTCCCCTCCTCCTCCCCCTTTTTTTGACAACCCAACGTCGAGGCGAGTGCACCGCGTCTAGAAGGGCAGCAGTACAGGTGTGGAGGACACTGAGAAAACATGAAGGGAGAAGAGATCGAAAGCCAGTGGGACCATTAAATACGCAAGAGAAGTGGAGACAGTCGAGAGGGCCCAGGGCTGTCTAGCTGGCAGGAGCTGATTCCAGCAAAGATGGTTGAGGGACGAGGTGAAAGTGGACGGCCGAGCCATCCGCAATCCCAGCTGTGATTTCTCGCACCACCGCGCTTCCATCCACCCGATGAACGGCCCACTTGTTCATCCACCCCCTGGATGGCCCAGTTCGCCCCCTCCAAGAAACCCAGCCCTGGACACCAGGGCGTTCATTGATTTCTGGTGTGGGATCATCACGCCATCCATCGCAAAACCATCGAAACCCAAGAAACCCAGGGCACCCTGGAGGCAACCAGGGCGTTTCTTGGCATGGGCCCCCACTGAAAAGGGGTGGCTTGGTGAGCGGTGAAGCGGGCGGTGCCGCGCGAATTCCGAATTCTGGAGGGTGGGCGGAGCATGGCCCACGGGGGAGAAGAGCCCGTGAGGGAGGGGGAGCGCGCGAGGGAGGAGGGCGCGCGAGCGCCGCGAGGGAGGAGGGCGCGCGAGGGGGGGCGCGCGAGGAGGGCGCGGCGCCCAAGAGATATCCCAAGAGCCCCTGAAGGGCATCCAAGAGACCTCTGGCCCTTGTGCTTGATTTCCTCCTCTTCCTGCTCCCCTTTCCTCCTACTACTCCTTTTATTATTATTCATCATCTTCCTCATCCTCCTCAACCTCATCATGTTCATCATCACCATCACCATCATTAGCATCAGCATCAGATCATCATCATCCACATGATCAGCATCATCATCCGCATCCGCATCATCAGCATCACCAGCATCAGCCAAATCATCATCAGCAGCATCATCATCAGCAGCATGATCGTCATCATCAGTATCATCCTACTCATTTTCCTTTTCCCCACTCCCTCATCCATCCATCCAGCCTCATCCTTCTCCTCCTCCCTCCTTCGCACGGTTCTCGACCGTCCACTCCTTGGCCCCCGCACTCCCCTGATCACCTCAACTCGCATGGACAGCGTTTCTGGATGGGTTGCTGGGATACGTTTGATCGCGACCGCGGCGAGACAGGTCGGGCGGCGTAAAGGAACGAAACGCAGATGCAACGGCCTAAATCAGCGTTCAGGAAAAGGGAGGCGAACAGAGGAAGGGGACGACCGCGGAAGAGAAAAGACCAAGCAGAGGGGGGCAAACAGGAGGCGAGCCTCGCTGCCGCTCAAAAGACGGCGCACACCTGGAAGAGCAGCTGGTGGGTATATTTGTTTGGTCGACGGCCGCGCGACTACGGTCTGGCGGCGACAAGCGTGCCCGGGACGGCGGAACAGGCTAATTCCACACAAGGTGCGGTGCACGTGCACTGAGCAAAATGCTCCGCATTCGCCGTGACGCACCTAGGCACTGGTGGGGATACGCGAAGCGTCTAGAATAAGCATGCAGGGGCCCTGGAAGGCCATGCCGACACTCTGCGAGCGGGGCGCGGCCAGCGATGGCGGCCAAGGATGGGCCGAAGGGGAAGCATGCAAGGGCAACCTCGCGAACTTGCTCATCCTAACTGTGCGGGTTGAGTATACTCAATGTGAAGATGTCCCGTCGCTCTCGACCTCTGGGGGCCCTCGCTGGGCCCCGGAACCGTCAAAAGCTGCTCGGTATGAAAACCCCGTCCTGGGGAGAGGGGCGGAACTGTCAAGGGCCGCGCACAGGAAAAACAATGCATGGCATGTCTGGGGAGGGGACGGAGAGGGTCGGAGCAACAGAAGTGAACCGATAAACCGCTGCTCGTCCTGGAAGGCCCTCGTCGCCACGGCTGGATGCTCCTCGAAAGCCTGGCCAGGACGCACCCCGGGAGAGGTTCGGAGAGTAGCAGTATGGGTACACTTGTTCGTCCCACTTGGGGGGGTGGGCGGACGGCCAGTGTTGGGCGCCCTCGGTGGAGAGTAGAAAGTCCACCCTCACCTCATAATAAGCACCCCGACACGCGAAGCCGCTTAGTAAACGCACCCAGAGAAGGACTCGAGCAAGGCAGGGCTGTTTAGTAAACGCCCAGGGCCATTTAGTCAACGCCAAAGATCGGGTTCGGGTGATCTCTCCGCCGCTGACTTACCGCCCTTGCTGGGCGGGGGCCATCGAAGCACGGCTCGGGAGACAACGCTCCTCCTAGGGAGTGGTCGGAACCTGCGGAGGGAAGATCGGCGGCAGCGGCAGGTACAGGGTACAGCGGCCGGACAGCGGGAGCGGGAGGGAGGGCGTGCGGAGCGGGGAGTCGGGCGACGGACGTCACGAAGGGCAATCACGGGGGGCGGGGGGTGGGCGAAGAGACACTCCATACTCGTGCACCATCTGGGCCCCAGGGGAGCCTCCTTGCGGGCCCTGAAGGTGCAGAAACAGTGTGCCTCTCCCCCCCTCCTCCTTCTCCTCCTCCTCCTCTTCCTCCTCCTCCTCCTCCTCCTCCTCCTCCTCCTCCTCCTCCTCCTCCTCCATCTTGTTGTTCCTCGACGAAAGGCGGATTGTACCGCGTGCACGAGGGAGGAAGCAGGCGAGGGCGACCGCGCGGGGGGAGAGCATCGTTTAACCGATCCTCATCCCCACCAGCGTGGGGCTGGGCCCCACTGGCCGATGTGCCCCGCTGATGGGGACATGGGCTGCTCTCCTCGGGTTAGGAGGGGCATATATCCCGAACTGAGGTGGTGAGACGGTGAGGCTCGAGATGTGGATGGGGATGGGGATGAGGAGGAGGAGGAGGAGAAAGAAGAGGAGGAGGAGGAGGAGGAGGAGGAGGAAGAGGAGGATAGCGGGAGTTGGAGGAGGAGGAGGAAGAGGGATGAGGAGGAGGAGAAAGTGGAAGAGGGAGGAGAGAGGATGGAAAAGTGGAGGAGGCGGAGGAATGGGAGGAGGAGGAGGAGGAGGGGGGAGGAGGAGGAGGTGAGGAGGAGGGGGATGGAGGATGGGAGAGGGGGGGCGGAGGAGAGCGAGGAGGGAGGGGAAAGCGCTCCAAAGGAGGCGAGCCCGCACACTTGGCCGCGGCGCGGGCGCTCGCTCCGCCTCCAGTCTGGGCGGCCTGCGCGGCTGGCGCTCCGGCAGGAGTCTGCACCGCGAGGAGGCGGGGCTCGCGAGGTCCGAGGCCCGAGCACGACGCAGGCCACAGAGGTACCCCTCCAGGGCTGGGGCTGCTGCTGGAGCCCGCGAGCAGAAGGAGGGCGGGCGGCAGCGGCGGGGCCCACAAGTCCGAAGCCCGAGCACCACGGAGGCCACAGAGGTACCCCCAGGTCGGGCGTGTCCCCCTACATGCGGACTTTGGGCGGAAGGTTGAAGATACCACAAAAACATCCAAAAGAGTCACACACAAAAAAAACAAATGCTCAAACGAAAATCCCGCTGTAGAGGGACACGCCCAACTCAAAGGTACCCTCTCCGAACAAAACCTGGGGCTGTTGCTGAACCCGCGTGCCAAAACGGAGGAGGAGAAACGGAGGAGGAGGAGGAGGAGGAGGAGGAGGAGGACGAGGACGAGGAGGAGGAGGAGGAGAAACGGGGGAGGAGGAGGAGGAGGAGGAGGGAAGGGAGAGGGATGAGGAGGAGGGAGGAGGAGGAGGAGGAGGAGGGAGGAGGGGGAGGAGGAGGAGGAGGAGGAGGAGGAGGGGAGGAGGGGGAGGCGGAGGAGGAGGAGGAGGAGGAGGAGGAGGAGGAAGAGGAGGAGGAGGAGGAGGGGGGAGGGGGGAGGAGGAGGAGGGCAACGGCGACGGCGTCGGCGGAGGGCCTCCGATGGGGTGCGCGGGGGAAGCGCGAGGCGCCAGGGGGCCAGGCTCCGCAGGGCGCCTCAGCGCCGCCCCGCCTGGAGATCCTCGATCTGCGCCAGGGTGTCCTGGAGCATCTCCTCCTGAGGGAAGAGGGGCCCCAATAGGGAGGGAGCGCCTCCCCGCAGACACCCTCCGATTCCCCAAGACTGAGAGGAGGAGGAGGAGGAGCAGGAGGAGGAGGAGGAGGAGGAGCAGAAGGAGGAGGAGGAGGAGGGCCCTCTGACAGAAGCCCAAGAGCACCAGATGTTCTAAACCTTTAGGACATGTGGGAGGAAAGAGAACTATGCACATACACCGATTCTGGCCAGGCCCATCCTGAGCCCAGGACCGGTGCGTACGCCCTTTTATACCTTGGCCAGGAAGGTGTACATCCTGGGTCAAGGGTGGACGTTGTCAGGATTGGTGCATGTGCATAGTTCTGTTCGCCCGATCGTGACACCGGGAGCTCAACATCCGATGATCTCTGTATAAGCTACCCCCTCCCCCCAATACCCGGCCACCGACGGGGGAGGAGGAGGAGGAGGACGGAGGAAGGGGAGCAGGAGGAGGAGGAGCAGAGCAGCAGCAGGAGGAAAGGACGGAGGCCCGCTGTGGAGGGAGAAGTGTAGAGGAGGAGAACAACGGCGGCGAGGGCGAGGAAAAAGAGGACAACATGAAAGCAGAGAAAATAGGAGGAGCAACCGACGGAACAATAGTATGTAAAAAGGAAGAAGGACAGCAACAGGACGAGGAAACAACTGAAGAAGTGGAACAGTAACATGACGGGGAGGCGACGGAAGAAAACTGCTCGTGGGGGGGCCTTTCCAGTGAGGCTAAAGACTCAGGTTGGATGCCAAAGCCAGGAGCTGGGAGGAGAGAGAGGGAAAATAAATCCTACAAAAAAACATACACATACTCCAGAACTAAGAACAATGACCTCCCCGTCCCCATCTCGCCTCCTCCTCCTCCTCCCCCGCCGGCCGCCCATCCCCCTCATCCACAACGGCAGCGACGAGGACGACGACGTTGTCCTCGACGACGGCGGCATATATGTCTTCGAAAAGGCTCCCGGGCGAACACGTGTAATGCCCGCCCCTGGGCTATTCGCCCCTTATCGTCGCCGCCGACCCCAAGAGGCCGAAAACGACGAACAAACCCGTGCTGAATTTTCCCATTACGCCGGAGGTCTGGGATCGGCGTAAGCAGGGACCGACCGTCCCACCATTCCTGCAGGCCTACCACGATATGTTCTAAGAACTAAAAAGTGCTCTAAGAACTCAACCCATGTTCTCAGAACATCTGCCCGATGTACTAGAACCAGACGGTCTCAACCAGACACGTCTGAGACTTTCGCGCAAGCCACAAACGGTTCTTAGAACATTATTTGGTGGGCCCATAGGCAAGCCAGGACACTTCGCCACTGCTCGAGATCACTACGCTGGAGGTCTGGGATCGACGGCGTCAACGTCTACGATGCATCGGCGACGTCGACGTGAAACACATCGGGCCCACATCGAGCCGCATCGGCGATGCATCGGCGATGCGGCGCGATCCTCCGACCCCCTCTACTCCGAACCCATCTGGGAATCCTGGAAAAGAACCGTGCTGACTTTATCACCACGCTGGAGGTCTGGGGTCGGCGGCAATGACGACGACGATCGGCGGCTACACGTAAGAGTGACCCTTGGTAAATTAGCCTGACGAAGGACCCAACCATGTGCAGGTGTGAATACCGCAGTTGACACTACCAATTTCGGTGGGGTTCCCTATAGGGCCACGAAACGTGTGAAGGGGATGGGTGTGCGGGACGCATGCGGGCGGCAGCACTGGGGCCTTC